GTTAATAATGGTGGAACCAAAATGCTGTTTGATCTTGATTCCAGAATGAGCTCTCCTTGAAGTAACATTCAGCCTCCTTGAGTATATTTAATCTTGGCCTGAATTTCCTTCTCTCTGAATAGCAAATGATAATTAGTCACTTGATATGGTCTAGCTGTGTCCCCACCCAAATCTAAAACTGAATTCCCCCGTGTTGGAGGGACCTGGTGGGAGGTGACTGAATTATGGGAGCAGGTCTTTCCGGAAATGTTCTTGCGATAGTCAATGAGAGATCTGATGGTTTTAAAAATGGGAGTTTCCCTGCACAAACTTTCTCTTCGCCTGCTGCCATCCATTTAAGATGTTGACTTGGTCCTCCTTACCTTCTTCCATGATTGTGAGGCTTCCCCAGCCACGAGGAACTTTAAGTCCAATTAAACCTCTTTCTTTTGTAAATTCCCTAGTTTTGGGCAGCAGTGTGAAAATGGACTAATACACAACTCAACTGTGTTATCTGGATCGTTATTTGAGCTTAAGGATTCAATGGTCCTGCTGAGATCTTGCTCTTGACAGCCCTGTTGGGTACCTCTCCCAACAATGTGTCCCAAAAGTCCGGCCTTGTACTTCCCACATGCTGGGGCAATAGACTGGGCTCTGTCTGCAGAGGCCACCCGGAGCTTAGGGAGCACTGCCCAACAGAGAATGCTGCTAAGAGCCCATACACACCCTCAGAAGAGACCCTCAGACAGCCCTCAGGCTCTGCTGAGGATGACACTGTTTGGGCACAAAGAGTCCAAGTTATGCCTCTTGGACTCTTCTGCCATCCAGGCAGCTGGGCCATGTTGCAGCACACTGATCTGCTGCCATAAGGAGGAATTTGGCACTTACTGGGCACCTGCTCTGTGCCAGGCCATGTGTTGTGGTTACAACTCGAAGGCCTTACATCAACCACTGACAGTGAGCAGTTGTTCAGGACCAGTGATTGTTCATGTCTGCCAGTTCCAGCTTTCTCAATGGAAAATGAGGCTGTCATGAGTTGAGACCATAGGCATAGAGTGCTTTGTACAGTGCCAGGCGCATAGTAAGCACTCAGGAACTAGTCAGTGGGAGCAGTTACAGTGTGGTAGTTGCTGTTATTCCGCAATCTGAAGGCCTAAGAAACGTCAAGCTAGGAAAAAACTGAAAGCACGAGTACTACAGTTTTACAGCAGAGTAAACTGAAGCTCGGAGAGCTGAGTCACCTGCCCAGGGAGACACAACTCAACAGGGCCTAGAGCCAGCTGGCCCCAAAGGTTCAGGTCTGAGGTGTCCATTCTTTCAATTGTACCATGCTTCCTCTCCGAAGTCCTCATCAGTATCCCAGCTCTGCCTCTTGCTCATTCCCTTCACCTCTGAGTCTCCAGGTCCTTTGTGTGTCCTGCCCATGCGGGCTCTGCTCTCCTGGGCCCTGGCCTGAGGTGGCCTGCCCAGCTGGACAGCCCTGGTACCCTAAGGCATGCATTATATACATAACTTTGCTCATGTGCATCTAGAAGAGTGTGTGTGTGTGTGTGTGTGTGTGTGTGTGTGTGTGTAAACTTTCGTCACTTTGGAAAAAAAATTATTTAAACACCCTTTTCTACAGAGCTCTATTCGTGGAGCCCGGCTAGAAAGGATCTCTGCCCTCTGGGGTTAGTATAGTCATGGATGGCTTCACCACTGCTGGGGGAGGTATGATTAGCGGGGTCTTAATAACAGCGTCTAACAGAGGCCCACAGCCCAGTGTTCACTTGCACTGGAGGCTGCCAGGAGGGAGGACTGGGCAGTAAAACAAATCACCTTGTAGATCGGGGTTCGAATCTTCCATTGTGTGATTTGGGGCAGGTTATTAAAATCTGACATCTGGAAAACCTCATAACAGTTGTATTGCTGTGTAACAACCCCCCAAATTTAGTAGCTTAAAACACCACACAATTTCAGAGTTTCCCCGGGTCAGGAATCTGGGCACAGCTTAGCTATGTTCTCTGTTTCAAGGTTTGCTGCAAGGCTGCGATCAACGTGTCGGCCAGGGTCACAGTCATCTCAGCATTCAACAGGACCAACGTCCATTTCAAGTTCAATCAGGCTGTAATGAAAAGAACGTGGCCGAAGCAGGCTAAGCAACAGTGTTCACTACCATGGGCCAGTTTGTTTTATAGATGAGAAGACTGGCAGTCAGAGTGGCTCAGTGACTTAATAATGGTGGAGTCAAAATGCTGTCTGATCCAGATTCCAGGATGAGTTCTCCTTGCAGTAGCATTCAGCCGCCCTGAGTCTATTTGACCTTGGCTTGAATCTCTTCTCTCTGAACAGCAAATGATTAGTCACTTGATATGGTCTGGCTATGTCCCCCCCAAATCTAATCTTGAATTCCCCGCCGTGTTGTGGGAGGGACCTGGTGGGAGGTGACTGAATAATGGAAGCTCATTCTGGAATCTGGATCAGACAGAATTAGTATCACTGAGCCACTCTGACCTCCAGTCTCATCTACAAAACAAAGAAACTGGCCCATGCTTTGGCCTGCTCCAGCCATACTCGACACCCAGAGCCAGCAGGATTTAGATCCTCTTGGGCTGTTAGATTGAAGGCCTGAGTTCCTTGGTGGCTGTTGGCTGAATGCCACCCTCAGTTCCTTGGCCAGTGGCCCTCTCTGTCATATCAGGTGGGAGCCCAGGAGCGAACACCGACAATGACGCGAGTCTTCTGTCACCTATAACCACAGAAGTGACAGCCCATCACTTTGGCCACATCCTTTTTTTTGAGAAGCAAGTTGCTGGGTCCACCCACACTCAAGGTGAGCGGACTACATAAGGGTTTGAATGAGGGGGTGGCAGTCACTGCGGTCGCATCAGAACTGCTCACCACATATCTGTAGAGTGGTGCTACTCAGTGCCTCACTGGATTTTTCCTAAGTGGTACATGAAGCACCTGCCACATGGGTAGGTATCCCGTGAAGAGCAGTTGTCACTGTCACATGGGCTCAGAAGACCTCTATATCCTTTCTTCAGTGCTCTCTGATCTGTCTTCTTTTAGAAACAAGATTGTTCACCAAACACTGTCTCAACTGGCATGGCCCTATTTTTGCTTCCCAACATCTTATTACATACCACCATCCTGCTTGGCTTTGTTATGGGTGAAACTGGACATAAGACAAAATTTTCCTTTTCAGCCAAGGATTTTTTTTTAGCCTATGTCTTCTTTAATCATAGCTCCCTGGCTAGTCTAGTCAGGAGGGTGACTGTATTCTGTGCTGTTTATAGATTATAGAAGAAATGGTCTATCATGACCATCAAATCAAAGCACACTGGTTCATCCTGAAGAGCAGATGGAAAGACTGGTGTGTAAAAACCAAGTTGATGTGAGTCAAAGTTTGGTTTTCCCATCTCCCAGAGGCTTCCGATGAACAGCTGTCACAGACCCCTGTAGCAGCCTCATGCAACCACGAGTCATCAGCAGCCATCCTTCCATTTCACCGTCCTGAGACCAGGCTTTATTCAGACAGCCCTACCTCCTTAAGCCAATGTGAGCCTGAGCCAAGTCCCAGCCCCAGGAGGGAGATCTGTTTAGTCTAAGTCTACCCTGGTAGTCCCACTCTCTTTCCCAGTTATCGCCTCTCCTCCTCAGTGAAAACTGAAGGGAAAAGGGCTGGTGTGCTTCAGTGAAGTGTCACTGCTCTTAAAAGATGCTGGGGAAGAGGCCCTCTGCTTCAAGTGGTTGTTGTCATTCTGACAACTGCAGCAGCCAAGTAACGACCTTGAGGGAAGCGACACTGAGGAAAAAGTGAACATACTCAGGCTGGCAGGGCAGAAAGTGGGAAGAAAGCCAGGTCCTGACATCAATTAGCTATTGTATTTATTAGCCTTGGAACTGCCCAACTTTGGGACTTCTGTGAGGTGATAAGTACCCCAACTGTTTTTGAGTTGGAGCCTCACTCTGTCACCAGGCTGGAGTGCAATGGCAAGATCTCAGCTCACTGCAACCTCCGCCTCCTGGGTTCAAGCCATTCTCCTGTCTCAGCTTCTCAAGTAGCTGGGACTACAGGCGCACGCCACCATGCCCAGCTATTTGCATTTTTAGTAGCGATGTGGTTTCACCATGTTGGCCAAGATGGTCTCGATCTCTTGACCTTGTGATCAGACCACCTTGGCCTCCCAAAGTGCTGGAATTACAGGTGTGAGCCACCGTGCTCAGCCCCTAATTGTTTAAGCCAGTGATCTCCAAAGTGAACAAGATGATCCACTGGGGTACAGGAAGAAAACCTAAGTTACGTTTTTAAGAGTAAAGAAGTCTTACCAATACATGACAGACACAGAGCCCGCATGTCAAGTGGTCAGGCAGCACATACAAGTCAGTGAGGAATACTCAAAGGAGTACCAAGAACTCTGCAAGTCAGTGAGGAATACTCAAAGGAGTACCAAGAACTCGGCATCACAGCGGGAGCGACAGCAGCACCATTCTCTTCCACAATATCATCATCTTTGTGCCCCATAAGTCAAGTGGACTTAGATTTTCATTATCTTATACAGAGAGCATCTTGACCAGTTTATAATGAGATGAGGAAATTAACCCTCAAATGTCTGGTTATCTCACAGCAAAATTCTTAAAAACATAAAGATGGTCATTTTTTTTAATTGATGAAAAGGGCTTGAATGTGCCAGTCTTTCTTGTGGTGACAAGTGTCTGTAAGCAATATGCAATCTAGAAGGTATTTTTTTTAAGGGACAGATTTAACCTGACATTTCAAGGTAAAAATAACATATAGTACTAACGATGACCAAGAATTCACAAAAACATGTTGCCAAAAATTGTCAAAAATTGTTTTTGAGTTGGAGCCTCACTCTGTCACCAGGCTGGAGTGCAGTGGCAAGATATCAGCTCACTGCAACTTTGCTCTTCAAAGTGTACAAACTTGGGAAATGAAATTCAAAAATAAGTTGCAGCAGGTTTTGAACCCATCTGTTAGCAAAATAAAAATGCAACACTATTCAGCAAAAACAAGTTACTGACATTGGAAAAGATGAAAATTTATTATAAAAATTTCAACACTTTTGCAAAATTGGTGGATGGAACTCAAAATGTTTTCAGTAAGCACAGCCATATTTGGATCCACAGATCTTAATGAAGTGACGTTTTCAGCTACAATAGTCATTAAAACTAAGCATTAAAATAAACTTACCTTAAGACAAGAACATTGTTTTTATAAAGTATTAAAACTAGGATTTTCAAAAATGACAAGCATTTTTAATCATGACTCTCTGAAAGAAAAATTTTTTAGAAAGAGCAAAGGTTTTTTAACCACAAATAACACAAACAGTATTTTTAAATTTTTACCTTTTTGATTTTCTATTTTTGTTTTATATTATTAGTAACGTATGTTCAGATTTAAACATTTTAAAATAGGTATGTCTATGTATACACACACACACACACGGTGGTACACACTACGGCATTAAAGGCAGGTGAGTTTACATAGGGTTTTCTGCTTCATTGCTTGTGTTCTTAGAACGCACTTCTCCAACCCCAAGAAAAAATATTATTTTCTAGTTTGTGTGACATTCTTTTAGTCCATCTGGAATTTCTCTTGGTGAATATGACAGGAATCAGTTTCATATTCTCTACTTACACCAGTACCTTTCATTAAATAACTCACCATGAGACAGCATGACTTCAACAAACTGCCTTCAGTGTACTCTAAATTCTAGATCTGAGTTCTATTTTCTAAACCTTTCCATTAACTGTCTGTTTACACCAGCATAACTGCTTTAACTGCATTTAAAAAGTGACATATTTTTTGGTAGAGCAAGTTCCTTCCATTTCTTTCACTTTCAATGGAGCGTTTCCTATTTTCATCTGTTTATGCTTCCATAAGTTTTTAGATTATATAAACAAATACTGTTGGTTATCTGAATTGGCTTTGCACCGAATATACATTAACTCAGAGAACTGGCATGTTTAGAATGGCCCAAAGGTTTGTGTTATCAAGTGCTGACAAGCCCCGTTCTCCCCTCTGTTCTCATGCCCCTCCACTACCTTCCCTTGAAGAAACTATGTTCCTGAACATTAATAACTGTCTTTCCTTTACAGCTTTACTACTTGTGTATGATTCTCTAAACAATATACTTTGTTTTTCCTGGTTTTGAACTTTATACAAGGTACCCATGCTGGCTCTATTCTTCTGACTTGCTTCTTTCACTTGATACGACAGTTCTGAGATGCATCCATGTTGAAGCCCACAGTGCTATGATCCCTTGACCACTCTAAAGAATTCCACTGCATAAATACACTTTATTTATTCACTATACAGTAGATGGGCATTTGGATCTCTCCTTCATTCCTTACAATTTTCACACATAATGCTGTTACAAACATTCCTGTACATGTTTCCTGGTGCATATGCACATGAATTTTTCTAAGTGTAAATAGCAGGCTATAAGAGAGATGCCTGTCTGCAATTTCATTAGATAATACTGTTTTCCAAAGTAGTACAGATTCACATGCCAACAACAGCAGGTGAAGGTTTGTTGTCATAATCTCTCAGATTGTTATTCTCGGACTTCCCATAATTTCTGCCAAGTTGTTAGCGAGGAAATGGTATCTATGGTTTTAATGTGCATTTCCTGATAACTAATGAGACTGAACATCTTTTTACACTGATGGGCCATTTCTGTTTCTTCTGTGAAATGACTGTTTGTGTTTGGGGTCCATCTCTCCTGATTTGTTTCCATTGCTGATTTGCATTCAGGTGCTCTTTGGCAGTTATGTATATATTGTGAATACTGGTATCTTATTCCAGATGTGGCTTCTCTTTTCACTCTATGGCATGCTTGGTAAATAAAAGTACTTGGGATCAATGTAGCCAAATTACTTATATTTTAATTAATAGTCTGCATTTTCTATCTTATTTATAAAGTTCCCCTACTCCAAAGTCGTTGTTTTAATCACTATCTTTGGCAGTTAAGTGTTAGAATTCTGGTAGTGCTAGTTCCCCTCACAGTCCATTCAGAAGGGTCTTGGATAGCCTTGGCCCTTTGTTCTTCCGTTTATATTGAAGAATCAACTTCTCAGGTTCCACAGTGAAAATCACTGGAAATTTTATTGAAGTTGCAATTTGGAGAAAAAGTTGAGATTTAGGTAATAGAGTGTTATCCATTACATCCTCTACATTTATTTAGGTCCATTAAGCTTTTAAAATCATTTCCTCCTTTTATTAAAATTTATTCTTAGAATATATTTTTTTGTTCCCATTATAAATTGCATTTCTTAATTACATTAAAAAACCAATCTTGTCTTCCTGAGATCAATCCATTTTTGTCATTTGTTATACTTTGAATACACTGTCAGATTTGGTTTGCAAAAAACGCTTGTTTTCCTACAGAAGGGTACATGTTTTATGTATATGTGTCTGTGTATACATCCATCAGATCAAACTGATTAGTTGTACTACTTAAATCTTCTATGTCCTTAATCTTCATAATTTGGTCTCTGCAAGATCTATTAATTACTGAGAGGTATGTTGAAAATGCCTATTACGTTGGTAGATTTCTCCTTGTAGTTGTGTTTCTTTTCCCCTTTCGCAGTTTTTTTCTTTTAAATTATTTTCTAGACAGGGTCTCTGTTGTGTTAGCTGACATTAAGTGGTATCATCATAGCTCAGTGCAGCCTCAAACTCCTGAGCGCAAGCGATTCTCCTGGCTTATGCCTCAGCCTCCCAAGTAGCTGGAATTATGAGCAAGTATCACTATGCCCAACTTTTTTTTGAGACCGACTTTCACTCTGTCGCCCAGGCTGGAGTGCAGTGGTGTGATATCAGCCCACTGCAACCTCCGCTTCCTGGGTTCAACTGATTCTTGTGCCTCAGCCACCTGAGCAGCTGGGATTACAGGTGTGTGCCACCATGCCAGGCTAATTTTTTTTATATATTTTTAGTAGAGACAGGGTTTCACTATGTTAGCCAGGCTGGTCTCAAGCTCCTGGCCTCAAGTGATCCACATACCTCAGCCTCCCAAAGTATTGAGATTACAGGCAAGAGCCATTGTGGTCTGGTCCTTTTTTTTTTTTTCCCCGCCTGAAATAGTGTTTCATTCTTGTCGTCCAGGCTGGAGTGCAATGGTGCGATCTCAGCTCACTGCAACCTCCATCTCCCAGGTGCAGGTAATTCTCCTGCCTCAGCTTCCCAAGTAGCTGGGATTACAGGCATACACCACCATGCCCAGCTAATTTTTGTATTTTTAGTGGAGACAGGGTTTTACCACATTGGCCAGGCTGATCTTGAACTCCTGACTTCAAATGTTCTGCCCATCTTAGCCTCCCAAAGTGCTGGGAATACAGGTGTGAGCCATCATGTCCACCCAAATTTAAAAAAAAAAATTTCATAGAGATGGGGTCTATGTTGCCCAAGCTGTTTTCAAATCCTGGCTCCAAGCAATTGTCCCACCTCCGCCTCTCAAAGTGCTGGGATTATAGGTGTGAGCCATTTTTTTCTTTATATATTTTGAGGTATACTGTTAGACATGTAGGTACATTACTAGATAGTTTTGAATTGTTATGCCCTCTGGCTTAACAATTTAGGGAGGGGAAGGGCTTAATAAAGGGAAACATATTTAAAAAAAAAAACCAACCCAAGAATACAACTAGTTAAGCTAGCTGCTCTCAGATTCTATTAATATGTGTGATATTCATTCTATAATGCTTTTTGATATTCAAGGTATTTTAGCATTTTGGATTACTGAGAAACAGGCCAATAGAAGAAATAAAATTCACACACACATGCAGCTGGTTCTAGTAGAAAAGTTTTGTATGTAGTAAAAAGCAAACTGGCTAAAGGGAAGAAAGTTTAAATGGCGCTGTGGGAAAGGGGAGTGAAAAAGGAAATTGCCAGGTGATTTAAATGCAAAGGAAAACAGAAAGTCACTGAATTCTTCCATATGTGGTAACCAAAAAGTAGATACATCACAACAGAGCTGAGGTCAAAAAAATGGGAGGGATAAGAACCGGCGTTCTGAGAACACTGTAGGAAAGGACACTTCTGGAGAGACAGCAAGAGAAACTAAAACCATAAAGGAAGGTCACAAATATCCCAGGGGATGATACTAATTTCACAGCAAGAAAACACAATGGGTTATAAAAAAGCACAGTATCAATAAATGCAAACAAAAAAATACCCTACGTCCAAAAGTTGATTAAAGGCCCACAGAAGAAACTGTAACAGTGTTAAAAACTACAACTACACTGTTACCCATATCCTCCATACTATAATAATGGAATAGATATGACCATATGTATATTGTTACACAGTTGTTTTTTTAGCATTGGTATGGACCAAGATCAACACTCACCCTGCAGGAAACTGTGGTAACAGACGTGTTCGGTGTGGCTATCATTTATGAGGCATTATTAATATGCTATAAGCAAAATCAAATGTTCTATATAATAACAAATTTCCAGTGAACCAGGTATTAAGGCCAAGGACATCTGTACAGGCTTTATAACATAACAAGGCCAAGAACAACTGTACAAGATTTATTTCATTTACCACAATGTTTTAGAGTGATAGTATACACCCTAATACAGAAGGAGTAATTCAAAATCCACCAAAAGATCAAGAGCCAAAGTCAGTGGCTATGTATCCCAGGTCAATAGGAGTTTCATCCACCATTTTTCCTTGGATTAATGAGGTGATACACAGAACACCCTGTGTGGAGCTCACTATGACTTCTGACAAACAAGCGCCACCAGGCACAAGACTTCGTTGCTTCATCCTTGCTCCAGCTGTGCCAGTGAGTGGCAAAAGCCTCCTGCCTGTGCTTGCCCTCCAAATTTTTCATAAGCATTCCTGTTAGTAGCCATAGTTCTCCCTGACTTCACATTTGAATAATTTATCTGAAGTGCATGGCTGTAATATTGACAAACAGGACTAATGAGAGTAAATTGCCGTCTGTTTAACAAAACACACTCTGAGAATACCCACAGTCTTACTGCATTTGGTACATAGTCACAACATTGAAATGACATGTGAGAATACAAAATATTTATTTTTTTTCAAACCACAGAATTCTTAACCCCAGAGCCACCCTATAAATTGCTCAGAATTGTAAGCCATTAACATTTTTCTAAACGATGCAGTCTAACCAGAGATGAAGATAATTTCCAATCAGCAGGGATGGAATATATACTAGATTCCCCTAAGAATGAAGCTCAAATTAGCATTTCCTTTAATTCTCCCATAGCCATTCCATCAACAGAAGCAGAAACAGTACAGTATTTATGCCACTCAGCTCTGAAAAGAGGTTCAAGGTGGGTCTTGGCCAGTAGAGGAGGGAAGGTGGCTGGGACTTTAATCAACAGTGAGGACAGAGAGGAATACTGTCTTGGAAAAGAACAGAGTTCCTTTCAATATATTCTTGTGGCCAGAAACTGGGGTGAATAATTTCAATGGGGTAATGAAAGAAATAGGAGAGCTATTTCTCCATTTTAACTTTTGACAAAAGTTAAACTTTCTCCATTTTAACTTCTGACAAAAGTTAACTTCATTTATACAATCGTATTGAAAACGGTAATCACAACCAAAAAGGTCCTATAAACCTGTAACAGATGTCAAAGGGATTCACATTCTGACCTTGAATTTTAAGGACCCCTTAAAAGGCCTAGACTCAGATTAAAGTAAACATAATATTCCAAGCTAAAAGAGGCACCATAAAAAAAACAACTCAAAACATCCAAACAATGGCCAGATGACTAACGTAGGGTTTTTGTTTTGCTTTTTAGTTGCAAAGCTTTTCAGTGTCTCAGAGTAGTGTATGTTCATAAAACAATACTCAGTTATTTTAACAGCTGCTTATGAAACAATGGAATTTTAACTCAAGGGCGATGCCTCTTGCATAATAATCACAGGAATAATTAACTGCTATAAAACGGGGGAAAGTAGAAGGAAATACAACCAGACTCAATAATAAAAAGACAAAATCTGGAAGGGTTACTCTGCTTAAAGAGAGATTAACCAGGATTATTTAAATACTATAATACAAGTGCTCCTGCTCAATTACAGCTGCAGAAACCAATTTAGTTTGCCAGATCACCATTGCCTTTGCTAGTACACGTACAGACCACTACTCGGAAGTCATCCTTTTGTGCTGAAAAACATTCAAATCCCTTGTTCGGTCGGTACAGATTAATGCGAGGTGATGCACATGCAAACTCTTCCTGAGGAATTTATGTGTGCAAATCCGCAACCCGACAGCATGTCATGCAGCAGGGGAGTTGTAGCTGCACAGGTCTGAGCACTGGTGACGGATGTGCAGTATTCACCCCATGGAGTCCTTTCTTCTGCAATCTCATCTACCCACAAATTAGCTTTCACCCTGAACCCCAAAGAAAGGGAGGGTAATTGCTGCAAATTTGTTAAAGGGACAGAAGAAAGGTAACTTGTCTACAAAATAATGCACAATCCATGCATCGGGGTTTGTGTCTGTTCTTACTAACCTTGCCTAAGAACTATCAGGCTCAGAGTCACAACACCAGGTTTTGTTTTCTGCCCCACAAAAAAACAAAGTAGTAATTCCTGTTAGGTTAGGGTACAGCTGTGACAACAAAGGTCACGAAATGACAATGTTACTGAAGCTTAAGGCCAACCTTTAAAATACGTACCATCTCTACTTTTAGTTATTTATTTATTTTTTGAGATGGAGTTTCGCTCTATTGTCAGGTTGGAGTGCAGTGGCACGATCTTGGCTCGCTGTAACCTCTGCCTCCTGGGTTCAAGTGATTCTCTTGCTTCAGCCTCCCGAGTAGCTGGGACTATACGTGCATGCCACCACGCCCAGCTAATTTTTGTATTTTTAGTAGAGACAGAGTTTCACCATGTTGGCCAGGCTGGTCTTGATCTCCCGACCTTGTGATCCACTCACCTCAGTCTCCCAAAGTGCTGGGATTACAGGTGTGAGCTACCATGCCCAGCCACATGTCATTCGTTCAAGATAACTAACCTGTCTTTCCTTTTAAGGATTTAGTTGGAGGCTGCACATACATACTGTCAGTTTAAGCAAATCAGCCATGTGTTGGCTAACCAGACAATCAGCCTAAATGTACAAGTTTCCATCTTCAAATGGTTTGAGCCTTTAGTGATGTAGTACAAAAGCCCGTATGTAGTTAGGGTAGAAAAACCATATACTAGCAAGAATACAAGAAAACAAGCCAGGTGCAGTGGCTCATGCCTGTAATTCCAGTACTTTGGGAGGCCGAGGCGGATCACCTGAGGTCAGGAGTTTGAAACAAGACTTTTATGAACTGGCCAGCATGGTGAAACAGTCTCAACTAAAAATGCAAAAATTAGCCGGACGTGGTGGTGTGTGCCTACAGTCCCAGCTACTTGGGAGGCTGAGGCTGGAGAACTGCTTGAACCCAGAAGGCAGAGGCTGCAGTGAGCCGAGATCGCACCATTGCACTCCAGCCTGGGAGACAGAACAAGACTCCATTTCAAAAAAAAAAAGGAAAAAAGAAAAAAAAATACAAGAAAACAGAAGAAAATACTGTCTGGCAAACTGTCAATATAAAATGAGGAAAAGGGGGAGGAAATCTTATTTCTTCTCATAATACAAACTAACAATTTTATTAAGAATCCCAATAAATCAGTGAAGTCTATTTCAACTCAAACAGGTCCTTCATACTGCGATTTACCTCAAGAGGCCAAGATGATGGGCAGCCAGCACTGGGAGACTATGTACACCCTTTCTACAGTGCCTTCCAGTCAAGGTTTTGTTACACCAAGCCCTGACCCATAGCCAGTTGCAGTCACTGTGCAAAAATTTAGAGAAACTAAATTTTGCAAACTTTACTTTGCCCACTTCTTAATAAATATGTAGTAAAAAGAATATAAAATATCCCTCCATGAACTTAAAAGCATCCAAAGATTTTAATGCCAATTCATATTATACTGTAATGCTTTAATAGGGAATTTATTTTCTAAGAATGATCTCCCCCAGAAAAAGCATTTGGGCATATTATTAGGATACTGAATACCTTGTCCACATTCAAAGAAACACTCCAGTTTTATTCCTTTTAGAAAAATTATTCAAACCACTCAGACTTGAGTTCTAGGTGTTACTTATAAGCCTGCAGCAAGCATTCCATTGAGAAAAGTAAAATGTGAATGTCATGATGAATGAAATTCTCCTTGATACTAGAATGTTACTGGTGTGGCAACTCAAACTGTACAGGTCGTAGTGAAAGCCTGTGTATGTTCCTAAGTAATTCAGTGTTCATCGATGCAATCTGGGATGCTCAGAGTGAACTGAATCCAATTAAAGTCCACAAAATCCACCAACTCTGGTTGATAAGTACTTTAAAAAATAAATCTGACAACCTTTACCTTCTCTGCGTAACAGTTTTGCAAAACAATGACTTCTATTATTGGGTGACTTACTTGCTCCCAGTATCCCACTTCTAACTCTCCCACCCCATACCGCTCCCCGAAAAAAATGACAAACTGAACTGGCAGTCAGCTGTAGGAAAAGCTGCAGACCAGACATGCAACAGCATCCCTGGGAGGTTTCTTTTCCCCCGCAAGTTCTCTGAAGAGGTAAATACTATTAGTCTGATGTAGCCTAGTAGAGTGAAGCCTATGCTCAATTAATATTCAAGCAACATTGAGAAGAAAAGGATTTTTCTCTTGCCACATCTATTTTTCTTGGCCTTTCAACAACAGCTGTAATAAGCTTCAGAGACTTTTATGAAGAACTAAAAAGCACTGTGGATGTGGAGAAACAGAAACTACAGCTTTGCCACAGCTGGAAGGGAGCCTCAGGACAGCAGTGCTTCTTCTTCCCTATCGCACTCAAATACAATATTCAAATGACACGATCTCACTCATTTACCATGAAGCAATCAGAAACCCCACACCACTGAGTATATTTGGATTTAATAACTGTATCTGCTTCCTGGAGCATCACAAGAAGTAGCTCTCAATAACATTAAGGGGAGCTTCAGTGCTAAAGTACTACCCATCCCTAAACTAGAGTGCTGCCAATACTACAGCAGCTGGTGACATCATGTTAAGTGACAGAGGGAATGGAAATGCTCTATGAGAGTTGGTCCCCAACATTTACATGAATATGCTCTGGTTTACCAGGGGAAAATCTGACCAATGTGCAAGAGGTTTCTGTTTCCCACTTAATTAGCATCCTGCTACAGAGTCACACCTGCCATCTTAGTGGGTGAGTTTAGATACCATACACTTCTCCAGGAGGCATTTTTTCTCCAGGAGGAGTTTGACAACATGGTCACACAGTTGCAAAGTGCACAAAGCTCAAGGCACAGAGTAGAAAACAGTTGTGAACTGATGGGGGAAAGTTCTAGCAAAAGCAAGTTAGCATTTTCCTTTAACAAGAGTTTCTAATGCTAAACAAAGACCAACTCTTTTAAAAGGGGTTGTTTTGGTTATGGGTGAAAAATACTGCATTGTAATGATCTGCTTGGTTTTAAAGCAAAAGAGATCCTGACGTGTGAAACCAATACACCGAAATGCCAAGTCCACAAATGAACAAAACAAGTGCTTAAAAAAAAAAAAAGATTCTTCTGCTCTTGTATTTTTGGAGGAAGCTGCTGATTTTGGCTGCCAGGTTTCACTTAGAAATGGTCACTTTCTGAGATGTTTTTTCCTCACAGAATCTGTAGATAAATGCATTAAAAGATTGTCCCATTTCAAAATCACCCCCAAGTCTAGCAGCAACATTTTTTTTTTTGTTTTTTGTTTTTGTTTTAAAATTACAAACCAAGTAAGAAGTCCAATATCCTCTTCCACGGACAGCTTTGTGACAGAGCTCCTGAGTGTGTGCAGCCCCACTGTGCTCTGAATAAGTCTCTGAAGCTCCAGTGTGTCCTCTTTTCGGGAAGGAAAGCATATTCAATACATTCACTATCTGTACCCCCTGGAACTTGCACATGCTGATGAGCTGTCTGAAAAAAATACCAGAACAGGGAAAAGTATGAAGACCAGACAGCATTGGATAATGGCAGCAATGTGTTTAAACTCCCCAAATAAAGGCTTAAAAAAAAAATCCTCAAAACCAGTGGTGTGGAGGTAAGTAAAAGGGAACTGAGTTTCTTAAGAAACTGAGACTGGACTACAGTCTCATCCCAGTGGAAACCAAAGAACCTAGCTAGTGGCCTCTTGCCAACTCCCTGGGAACCGTCACTCTCAGCTGGAGCTGCCACAGCTTGCAGAGCAGCGTGACCTTGATTACAAGCAGTGCCTTATGAGAACATCATCAAGAACAACATGGGTATCATCAGATTCTATGCACCGTTATCACCACTGGCTGCTTCACATCACAAAACCATCAAGACGCGAAGGAACATCATTACTTACTATAAGCCAGCTCATCCCCAGCTCTCTTCCGGGACTGGTCACCTCTGGGAATAAGAGAAGAAGGGGCAGTTAACAAAACTAACTGACTTCACATCAAAACAGGAGGAATGCATAAATATATGTGATAATAAAATTATGGCAGACATTTCTGTTCTAACCAAACAACCTATTTAAAAATACACATTAGACATCTTAGAATCTTGATGTACCTCACTATGCTTTTGCAGATGGAAGAACATGAGCACCTATATTGACCAGCTCATCCTTAAACACCTATGAAAGTTCTAGTTCCACTTTAGAGTTAAGAAAAAAGAGGTTCTGACTAGGCCCTACGCTACCTACAAATCCTATTTTTGTCTCTCTGGCTTCTCAGACAGTGAGAAATGACTCAATGCTTAAGTAATGAGTAGTAATAACTACTCACTAGCTTTTCTTCCTCAGCATTTATAAGTTGATTTCTTCCTGAAACATGATTTTTTTCTCTTTAGGCTTCAGTGATGCCACAGCACATGTTCCTGACCTTACTTCACCCTGTCTGCCATCCTTTTCCAATCTCCTTTGCTGGCTCTGCCCAGAGCTCTGTTGCTGGCCATCTTTTCTTCTCCATTTGCATTCTTCTTAGTCTAGGATGGTGATCATACATTCTCTCCACAAGCCAGAGGCTCCCAGATCTACAGCTCTAGGTCTGCCTTCCTTTCTACACTTCATATCTGCAGGGCCAACTGCCTCATTACTATGTCCATTTGGATGATTTATATATACTGGCAAGTTTACCATGACCAGAATATAATGCTGACTCCACTCCATCCCCAATTCTTTCCTCAATCTTCCAGCTCAATTACTCAAGCCCAAAATCCTTGGTCATCCTCTCTTTTCCTCACTCTGGAGCATTCTGTCCCAAAACCAATCACTCCTCATCAACTCCACTGCTACGATCCCAAGCCAGTCTTCTCTTCCCTGCACAACTGCACGAGCCTTATTTATCAGCCCAGACAAGAGCCAGAGTGGTCTCATATAGAAGATAGATTACTTCAAGCCTCTCATGAAAGCCCTTCAGTGGCTTCCCACTACAGTTAAAAACTAATTCCAACTCATCCTCCAGCCCTGCAACACAGCTCCTGCCTGCTCTCACATCACTTTGCTCCACTCTCAGCCTCTGTTCACTATACATCAGTCACCCTGGCTCACTGGCTGTCCCCTGCACATCAGCACTTTACTACTAACTACTGTCTCTGACTATGACGCTGTCCTCCCCAGAAGGTGTTACATCACCAAGTTAGCTGGAAAAAAACCCCCACACATGCCCTGGTGACTCACTATCCTAACCTCTGTTTCATTTTCTTCATAGGACTTATTATTCAATATTATTTTTTTACAAGTTTATTATTTACCTCAACAACAAAACATAAGTTCCATGAAAACAGGAACTCGGCCTGTCTTGTTCACCCTACTGCCTAGTAGAGTGTAGACAATAAACATTTGTTGACTTGACAAAGTAGTAATTTATAAATAGTCTCATAAATTATTAAAATGCTAACCAAGGTGATTATTTCCCGCTTTTGATTAATCTTCCAGATACTTTCCCATTTTCTTTCTCTGGTTATGTTTAGGACCAGGGCAGAAACCTTTTGCTAAGCTGAGTAAGGAGCCTCAATGACTGCCAGAAAGAGAACACACCACAGGACCTCTGAAGGGTTTTTCTCTAGGCACCACATTCAGCACAAACTAGCCTTCCATGGCCAAAAGAGCTCTAACACTTCTGTTAACACTACACCTAGTCAAAGCCTTCTTCCATTGTGATTTACATTAGTATCACAGTTGCATTTGCCAAATATTCTGAAACAAGTTAATGATTCAAAAGGAAGAGAACCTCGACTTTTAGACACAACCTTCATTTCCATTCCTCAAAGGTCAAATAAAAACTGAATATGCAATTATGACAGGAGAAAAATACAGATGTGAAAACGAGAGGCAGGAAAAGGAATATCAGTGTGGTATATGCAAGAGGCTGCTGAAGAGATTAAGTCCAGAACTCTCTCTCAAAACCAGACCTCACTACAAAACAAAAAAAGCCCAAATTTTGGTGTCACCCTTTTTTAGCTAAAATACCTCTGTTCTTACCTTGGTTACTTAAAGCTAGTGGTTCTCTTCTGTAGTATGATCTTTGACAACAGATACCAAACTTCCACCCCCAACCAGTCAATTCAATTATGTAGGTAAGAGATAAAAAGAAACTATTGCTTTTAGCTTATATGTTAATTCTAGCCTACCCTATATTTTCATGCACCTAAGGATTACATTTCACAAAAATTCCAGCTCAAATGAGAATCTGTCCACTACGAAAAAGGACATGTTTGACAACATTCACATTAGTTTAAAACAATTCAAAGACTTACTCTGTGCCATCCACATGAAAGCTGTGTGTTGCCTACTGAGGATCACTGCGTCAGTTAAGTTCATCATCTTACATGAAAAAGCAGCCCGCAACACTGAACAGGAATTGTGTGGTTGTTCAGGCATAAACCATAAAATGACTGCTCAGAACAGGCAGAAACAGATTTCTTAAGACAGCCTATACTATATTCTCTTTTTTTTGGCATCAGTAGACACCACTGTTTCCAAAATTATTATTCCTAATCAAGTAACAATCAAGGCATTAAGTTGGATAGGACAGAATGTGGACGGTCCCTGCACGAGAGCAGAGGCAGGCTTTCCATAAGAGCTGCCAAAGATGACGTGCGCACATCCTTCCTGGCCAGTATGAGTAAGCTCGGAATTAGATACGAGAATGTCTGCTTTGGCAGGCTTACTCTGTGCAAGGTACCTGTCAGAATAATGAGACAAGTTTGATCAAGTGTTAATTATAAAAATGGTCCAATTAAGTTGGTAAAATAACATTTTATCACCCCTTGGAATACTGCCTAATATTTAAATCTCAGCTAGAAGTTTTATATAAAATAATTCCATTGAGAAACAAAAATTCCTATTTATACCAAGACATTTCCCTGAATATAAGCAACCTGGACATGGGCTGAATAGTGTCATGTTAGTCCTTCATGTACAGAAGCATGCTACTTGAGGTTATTTACGGAGGCAGTTCCTCATCTCATCCCAAGCAAATGTGACATAAGGGCTACTGTAAACCAACCAGCCCTGCACCCTGTTCTCTTATTCTAGTACCAAAACTAGGATTAGAAAAATGATTCTAGGCATGTTTAAACAATTGTACACATTGCTCTGGGAGGCAAACTCAAAATGCTCAAAATTCACAAGAGCTATATTCCTATACTGCTTCACAAAAATAAGTTTTCAGAAGGCTCTCTCTCTCTTAAAAGGTATAAACTCATCCTAAATTAAGAGCAAATATTTAAATAAAACATGAATATATGAAAGTATAAAGACTTCAAAATTAGAGTAAGCCTAGGAAAAAACCTAAATATCACACTCAGATTACTTTGCATTTATTTAGGAACAGTGGGCCAGGTGCAGTGGCTCACACCTGTAATCCCAGCACTTTGGAAGGTCGAGGCGGGTGGATTACTTGAGGTCACAAGCTTGAGAGCAGTCTTGCTAACATGGTGAAACCCCATCTCTAGTAAAAATACAAAAATCAGCTGGGCGTGGTGGCACATGCCAGTAATTCCAGCTACTTGGGAGGCTGAGGCAGGAGAATCGCTTGAACCTGAGAAGCAGAGATTGTAGCCACTGCACTCCAGCCTGGGCAAGAGTGAGACTCCTTGTCATGAAATATGTATACATTGACTGCAGAGGGTGGCTCATGCCTCCAATCCCAGTGCTTTGGGAGGCTGAAGCAAGAGAACCCCTTGAGCCCAGGAGCGAAGACCCTGTCTCTACAAAAAATTAAAACAATTAGCGGGGGCGCTGTAGTCCTAGCAACTCAAAAAAATTTAAGGAAAAACTGTTAGCTATAATTCAAATACATAAACCACAAAAAAACTTGTGAAAATCAGGTACTTCTACATAGCAAAACAACAGAAAACACTACCATAAGCAAAAGCTAACTGAGAAAAATGTCTTATCTTGGACAAAGAATCAACGTCTTGACTATAGAGATTTCCTAGAAATCAAGAAGACTAAAAGAAAAGCGAGCAAAGGACTTTAAACAGGCAGTTTGCAGAAAAAGAAATGCAAACATAAGAAAATATGCTCAACCTCACTCCTAGTAAGAAATGCAAATTAAATCCATTCTGAGTAGTTACTCTTCACCTACTGGGTTGGCAAAAATACAAATGTGTAACAACATACTATATGCAAGGCCACAAAGAAAAGGAACTTTCCACCTTTGCTGGTGGACAGGCAAAGTGGCATAATCCCCTGTGGAGGTCAATTTGGCAAAATTAATCAAAATTACAACTGCATTTTCTCTTAACCTAGACATCCCACTTCTGAGAATTCACCCTCCTAAAACACCTGCAACAAGTACAAAATAATACAAGGTGATTTACTGCAGCACCGCCTACAATAACAAAAGACTAGAAGCAACTCACGTGGCCATCTACTGGGGACTGGTTTTGTCTATACACACAATGGAATGTGTAAAAAATACAAATATGGACATATATTGTGTTTGCTTGTATCTATATTAAAACGCGAAGGAATCACAAACATAAAAATGGTTACTTGATGGGGTGGGGTACACAGGGAGACAGGTGGGAGCAAAATTTCTCAATGTATACTTTTTATATCATTTTGATTTTTGAACCACATGTTAGTCTTGAAAAATAAAAATATGGCATTAAGTGGCCTCATTCTGTGTATGAAAATAATACCACTCTCTTTCTGCTAGAACTTACTACAATTCATGTGAGGAAATATATGATCCCTTGACACCAAAGAGAAAAACTATTTGCATTCCAGCATTTCCCACTAGCCCTTCTTCCTCCTAGCCACAGAAAGCCAGGTCTCCCAGGCCCATCTCCACAGCTTCACTGATCCCTTCCAGTGTAAGCTGTCAAAGATGGGGTAAATGACCAGTGAATTACTCACTGCCTCCCCATCACACCAGTACAGATGTTGCCAGGACAGAAAAAGGAAATACCAGTCCAGGGACCAACAAATTACCTGCTTTTTGTCCCTAATCTTAGACTTAATAACAGTGACCCCAGCCAAGGCTTGTTTTTCTGAAACTCAGTTTGGCCTCAGACCCTTTGAAAAAAAATCCCCATCCCCAGCTCTAGCCAGACAAGTGAGTCAACACTCAACCTTCTGTTTTTTTTTTTTCTCTCAGTTGTGGCATATACCTTTGCAAATATCAACCTACTATTTATAGACACAACTATGCCTAAGATACCTCAAGTGTATTCCTTTCCACAACTTTCTTCCTTACTGTCAGGAAGCCAAATGAGAGAAGATACACAGAAGTATCTAGACGTGCTAAGAGTAAGGATTATAAAAATGCAAGATAGCCTTTTGGCCGGAACCGCCATCTTCCAGTAATTCGCCAAAATGACGAACACAAAGGGAAAGAGGAGAGGCACTCGATACCTGTTCTCTAGGCCTTTTAGAAAACATGGAGTTGTTCCTTTGGCCACATATATGCGAATCTATAAGAAAGGTGATATTGTAGACATCAAGGGAATGGGTACTGTTCAAAAAGGAATGCCCCACAAATGTTATCATGGCAAAATTGGAAAAGTCTACAATGTTACCCAGCATGCTGTTGGCACTGTTGTAAACAAACAAGTTAAGGGCAAGATTCTTGCCAAGAGAATTAATGTGCGTATTGAGCACATCAAGCACTGAAAGAGCCGAGATAGCTTCCTAAAACGTGTGAAGGAAAATGATCAGAAAAAGAAGGAAGCCAAAGAGAAAGGTACCTGGGTCCAACTGAAGCGACAGTCTGCTCCACACAGAGAAGCACACTTTGTGAGAACCAATGGGAAGGAGCCTGAGCTGCTGGAACCTATTCCATATGAATTCATGGCATAATAGGTGTTAAAAAAATAAATAAATAAAAGACATCTGGACTGTTAAAAAAAAAAAAAATGCAAGATATTACTGTGCCCTTAAATGATTTGGTGATATAGGCTATTTTTCTCATAGGGAATCCCCAAAATTTTATAATAATGCGTTTTAGTTGAAAAATGCACTCTACAAGCCTTTCTGTGATATGACGATGATAAAGAAGTATAAAAAATTTAGAAAAATTATCAAAACCAAAACAGGCAAATTTTCTGGGCATACAAAGAGATGCCCTACTTTTTAAAAAGAAACCACTAGACTTTAGGGCAAAAGGGGAAGTATGAAGTGCAGTATTTAAAGCCTCTTTGCTAGGTCAGTCACAAAGTACATTACACCAGATCATAAAAGTTCTCTAATGTTTCTCCATATGCACAGGACTAATACAAGAGATCAGAGTTAAAAGAGCTCTTGGAGCTTGCCCACCTAACTGCTCGCCCAGTGACAAATCTCTTCTTCAAAATGTATGTAAATGAAGAGCAGCTTCCACAATCAAAGTCAAGCTTCAACATTTCTACAGACAGGGAGCTAATGTCTTCCTGCAAGCAGCAGGACTCTTGGCCAGTCACCTCCCATTCTGAGAGCCTTAACATTTCTCCCCTCTCAGGCCAAACTGGCCTAAGGAAATGGACATATTTGACCACTAAAGGAAAAAAACAACTTGCCTTGTAAAACCATTCTGTATAAGTTCTCTTTGAAGTTTCTGATCTTGAGCAGCATATTCAGACAGTTCAGATTCCACGGCCGGAGGGAGAATATTTGGAATAAATTTAGAAAATAGAGTTGGAGCCATCTGAACCCACTCTGTGAGGAAAGGAAAAGATTCATTAAGGAAATCAGATAAACACATTAAATTAAATAGAAAAGGGAAAGTTTTCTTTTGTTTAACGAATAAAAATAAGCCAAATTTAAAGCAGGAAAAAAAATTAGTGCAATCCCATTCTGGTAAAGAACATACTAAGCAGTTAAATGTCCCTTCTAAAAAGAATTTTAGTATAAAGAAAGACATTTTAATATTTTAAAATTTAAAAGCATTCAGTGAAAATCCTTAGAAAATTTTTGAACAAATCTTATAGAAAATTATGGAGGAAAACATGAATGAGATTATCAAACAATTCTGAGTGGAAGGGACTTCCACTGAGAAGTGGAAGGGAGGCTGGTGGGTGGAAATATCAGCCTTATTAGCCATTAATTAAAACAACATATAGCCCAAGAATAAGACAGTACAAATAATACATATTAAAAAAGGGCAACACCAAAGGTAGCAGGGACTGAACATTTAATAAGTGGGCTAAAGGTAACTGGTCAGTACTTTGAAAATATTTTTTGACCCATGTTAAATTACAGCAAATATACATAAACAACAGTTAAAAAAAATGGTTATTAAATTATTTTTTAAAAGATCAAGACACTATAGAAAATAAGGCAAAGAAGTCACAGGAAAACAATTGTACCATGCATGACAAAGACGAATTAGTATCTTTATTATAACAAATATGTACAAATCAGACCAGATAAATGAGTGAAAGAACCTGTAAGCATAATATAAACAATAGCCCTGTTAATACTTTAAAAAAAAAATCAAGCTAACATAAACATATTCTCTCCCTTTTATTCAGTGAAAATTAAAGAGAATAGACACCCACTTGTATCAAGGGCATGGGGAAACCAGTATTTCCCTTTCTTGGTGGTGGTGGTGGTGGTCCTCAAATAACACTATTATTCATTCTGAATTGTTTTTTTTTTCCTCTTGGAAAACATTTCGGCTGTACATGTCAAAAACTGTAAAAATATCAATGCTCTTGAATCCAGTAAACCCACTTTAAAAATAATAATCTGAGTAAATGACTATAAATCAGGAAAAGTCACATTTGGTCTGTGGTAAGTAAAAAAGTGACAGTTAAAAGGAAGTCACCAATCCATTCAGTCACCCCCTGGAGAAACTCATGGCAAAATGTTTTCCATAGGTCCCTCCTTCCAGCCCAACTCAAATATGGATTCAGTAAGAATCTCAATATAGTGTGACGGGGAACTACTTAACAATCAGGCAGAGCAGGCAAAGTCAAACCCATGTGCCACAAAATAAAGATGAAGAAACAAAGTGTGTGTATTAAATAAAAAAAGGGCAAGATAGGATTGCTGGAACTATTTCTAAAGACTGGATGCCAAAATTGGTAAGTCATCAGAAGCTCCAAGGACGATAGCCCAGGAATCTAGAGTTTAAAAAGCTTTCTTAAGTGATTCAGATGCAGTCATACAAAGACCAGCACTTGAGAACTACTGCAGTGGAACAAACTTTCCTTCCAAAATTCAACTTTTAAAATATTCTAACCTTAATCTGTCAGGTAGATAAAACTGCTTTAATAAAGCAGGAACATAATGGGTACTGGCAAGACATATAAATGTCAAAATATGTTTTAAAGTATCTCAGAAAATGCGCAAGGCAGCAAAAGGTTAGCATGTGATAAAATTCACCTTTTCAAAAGGACAATTCTCAAATACAGAATTCTCCTTACAAGTAGTATAAATCCTGTTACAAGAGCTTGAACCTGGATAAAACAGCATTTAGATAAACATGTACTTACAATATTTTCCTGCCTTTAGTGTTTAACTTTATTTTGCAATTTTGTTACTTATGATAAAAGCCAGAGCTTATAAAGCTGCCTACTTGGGAGGCAGAATTTGTCATACTGCACTTAGATGCTTTCAAAGGAAAAAAAATCATTCACAACCTAGTACACACACACAATTTCAGGAGCCATCTGCATCTCACAGCTGTAAAATTCTAAGAAACTAGATATAGAAAAGTATCAGTTTATTGGACATATGCAATAAAATATCTTTACTACTTTATACAAATAATTTCTGTTAAAAAACAGGGTAGAGCTCAAAACCTAGATCCAAATTTAAGTAACAATAAAAAAAAAAAATTCTGAATACTCTAAAAGTCATTCGCTATTTAAAGTAGCCTAAGAAGGGATTTTTAAAATCAGTCTACCCCAGTTCCAGTTTTCACTTGATTTCCATTTTAGCTCGCTAAATTCTGACATGTCATTTAAATTAATTAAGCAAACAATTAAGCCATCAATTAATTAAAATAGCCATTAAACTCAAATGGATAGTAATAACAGCAGTTAATGTTTGCATGCTTATTATGTTATCAGGTACTGTGCATTAATCTCTTTATATCATATTTTATTTCGTTTAATCCTCAAACAAAAGAATTTCACAAAAAGGTAATTACTGTCTAAAAAGCATCCCTTGTGTTTACAGATTGTAGAACAATGTTCTACCCTGATAACTTCTGTAATTTCTCTCATATGGACATTTTAAAATTTGCTAGACAACTCTATAACAAGTTTGAGGTTCTGGCTTATAGAAAGATATATACAAAAGCTCCTTGGGATTCCTTTCAATTTATAAGGTTTTATTCTGCTTTTGACCGTGATGATGTCTGGTATTTGCTTTGGTTCTTGTGATTCTCTTTTCCCAGAACATCCTTACAAAATGACTGATACTTTACCAACCCTTGTCGCTTCTTTGCAAGTTACTTAACAGGCCTAAGACGATCGAGTTGTGAATGTGGATGTCTGTGAGTATGTGCAGTGTGCGGTGGGACAAATAGGAAATATTTTTGTTATTTCCCTCAGTTTGTGCAAAAACAACAGCTCCAATCCCAACAAAGTGTTTACCTGGTCTTAGGGTATACAGGCCTTTCACAATATTTGCCATAGTGGAAGGTGTGACCTGAAATGGTGTTGACTGGGCTTCTAAAAGTAAAGCTGAAATAAGAGAAAAACAGGTTAAAAAGAAATAACGCATATTGACTGTCGAGATTTCTCCCTGTTTCTCTCAAAGCCTCCCAAAACATAAACACTTGTAAGAAAGAAGCAGCCCAATAAACCAATCAAACGTTTATATACTAAGGATTTTATTTCCTAAATCCAGTGCAGTAGCTCCAGCTAACAGGTAAATACAGAAAGGTCTGCCGGCACACTAAAGGAAATCAATCAATTCACGGAGGTTCTAAAAACTAAAACTTTCTAAAAGCACTAGTATTCAGGATACATAATAAGTGAGTTGAAAGTGCTTCCATTATATTTGGGGAATAACGTGTCATACAATTACCTCCCTCAATCATTTCTCCTTCCCCTAAATCACCATTAGCAATTATTTGGTAACTGTGGTTAGAGACAGAAATTCATTTCCCCAAACGCTATAGCTACATCTACCATTTTCTTACAAGAGCTAAGGGCAAGAGATTATAATGGCTCATCTTAATTTCATGTCTTTGGTGACTCTGAATCTGAAGAGGACAAGAGAGTCGGTTTTCTTTTAGGTTATCTATTGCCACACAAACATTTTTTAAGTTTTTAATGAGGAGGAATAATTCTCTAGATTAGATCACTAACAATTACAACTGAATTCCATTGATTAGTGAACAGGTACTACTGACCTAAAATTATTCATTTTTAGTTTATCTCAAAGACCTGCATTTGCTAGTAACAACAACAAAATATGTGGTACAAGCCTCTAAGCCAGGCTTGTAACACCATATACAAACTGCTTTTGTTCCATCCATGCCTTTCCAAAAAGAGAAATGCCATCTTACTAGGCCAATGAAGCTTTTATAGTCTCAAACATACAATATGAGTTATGTTTGAATATACTGATGAAGGCCATCAGAGGTGTACTGTTCAAGTTTATCCTTCCAATTTTATCATCAGTAGATAGTTACAATTTTGAACAGCATAGACCACCAGGGATGTCCAATCTTTTGGCTTCCCTGGGCCACACATAAAATACACTAACGACAGCTGATGAGCTTTAAAAAAATTGCAAAAAAACTTGTTTTAAGAAAGTTTACAAATTTGTGTTGGGCAGCATTCAAAGCCGTACTGGGCTGCATGGGACTCACAGGCCACAGGTTAGAAAAGTTTGGCAAAAACAAATGCTAAGCATTTCATAAAATCATGTTGCTTTATGCAATGTTTGAAAATCGAAATTCTAGCTGGGCGCAGTGGCTTGCACCTGTAATCCCAGCACTTTGGGAGGCCAAGGACAGTAGATCAGGAGGTCAAGAGATTGAGACCAGCCTGGCCAACATGGTGAAACCCCATCTCTACTAAAAATAGAAAAATTAGCCAGGTGCAGTGGTCTGCACCCATAGTCCCAGCTACTTGGGAGACTGAGGCAGAAGAATTGCATGAACCCAGGAGGCGGAGGTTGCAGTGAGCTGAGATGGCACCATTACACTCCAGCCTGGTGACAGAGCGAGACTTCGTCTCAAAAAAAAAAATCTAAATTCTAAGTGTTAGGTTTTCAGAGTTTCTTATACTCATAAGGTTCTCTCTAATTTCAACATGTATCCATCATCCAAGCTATCTATTAATCCATCTTCCTAACTTTTTCATCAATCATTTTGGCCTCCAAATTAGCCTTGCTCCCACCAACTCTTCATATTCAACCACATATTCATTATGTGGTCAAGTATATACATTTGCAAACAACTCCTACCATAATTGTAATGACCTATGTCAAATTCAAGAGCTATGAAGAAATGATAAATACAAAGATATACACATAAAATGTACACAAATTAAATAGAAATAAATTTTAAATGATTACATTAAATAAGAGAAGATAATTAGAATTGAGAAGGTGTAACATTTCACTCAAATCTCTACTTTAACTCTTTTTAGAAAAACAGTGTTTAAAACTTAAAAGAATTTCTAGTTAATCTCTCCTTTTAAGGAAAAAGAAATGGCAGTTTGGGGGTGGTAACTTGAGAGAGGAAAGAGTACTGTATATTTAGCAAGTGCTAGGTACTTCATATATGTTTAATTCTCACGAGCTTTATCATCTACCTTTATATTTTTAACAGGTAAGGAATCTAAGGCTAAAACAAAACAAAAATCCCTTATTGATTAATTCATCTCAAGTCACAGAGCTAAACTAGAAGCAAAAGAGGTTCAAAAACTTGTGTTTCACTCTAAATTCTGTGCTCTACTTCATACCAATACCAAAATGCTTATTTATATGCAACATTCATCCCACAGACATCAATAAACCATATAGTTTAAACACTAGATCACTTCTAATCCTAATCTCTTTCTTTCCAGATTGTAACATTAAAGTCTAGACAGGTTAAGTGTCTTGCTGAAAGTCACACACCTTTTTGATACCTGAATCTCTGAGACCAGAAACAAGCTCACAGTGCTACACACTTGCTCAGAGGATTCTCTCCTCCATTAATTTGAAAAGCAGTTCTTTTTTGCTCTTTTTTTTTTTAAGACGGAGTCTCACTCTGTCACCCAAGCTGGAGTGCAGTGGCATGATCTCAGCTCACTGCAACCTCTGACCCCTGCGTTCAAGCAATTCTCCTGCCTCAGCCTCCTGAGTAGTTGGGACTACAGGCACATGACACCAAGCCCAGCTAATTTTTTATTTTTAGTAGAGATGGGATTTCACCATCTCGGCCAGAATGGTCTCGATCTCATGACCTCATGATCCACCTACCTCAGCCTCCCAAAGTGCTGGAATTACAGGCATGAGCCACCGCACCCGGCTGAAAAGCAATTCTTAAAATCAAAACTGAAAATACTCTTGGTTTCAAAAAATTTCAAACTATAATGCTTTGAACTAAAAGGCAGAATTGCCTAAGAAAATTAACTAAAATGTAATTATTTAAAACATTATGCAAACTGAACTATAAATCTTCCACTGCAAAAGTCAACATACTATCTTTTACCACGAAACTTTTACCATTAATTAACCCTATACTACACATTTACTGTTACATTTGATCAGAATCACCAACACACTATGTAAATACCTCAACAACAGATCCCAGTAGTTCTGTAGCTTTCAGAGTTTAATTCAAATAATTTCAAAGGAAAATAATTTTACTACCAGCCAAAAAACAGAAGCTATTTCATAAGAAAATAAGTATAAAAATGATTATACCATGGAGCCAAAAGAAAACTAGCTTTATCTCCAGTAAGAAGTCACTGTCTTCATTCATGAAACATACTAATAATAAATAACATGGGACACTCAAGAACAGATTCTTTATTAACAGAGACAGTATTCATTTTATATTTTTATACTGGTTTTAAGACATGGCTCCCAAATTCTTCTGACATGCCTCCTATCAAGAGGTGGGATACAGTCCTTTCTCCCGGAATTTGGGATCTGTAATCGCTCACCCAGCAGAATATAGCAAAAGTTGTACTGTGCCAGTTTCTGAGCCCAGGACCTAAGAAACCAGCAGTTTCCATTTCCTGTATCTTGAGATACTCATGAAGGAAACACAGAGGAACCAAAAGCTAGCACCAACTTGCCAGCCATGTGAATGAGTCACACTGAAAGCCCCAGCCCCCAGTGGAGGCACATCAGCCAATGCTGAGCAGAGCAGTGATAAACTACCCCACCAAGCCCTCCCAAACTGCAGAGCAAAATAAAAGACTGTTACTGTTTTAAGCCACTATGTTTTTGAATAATTTGTTATATACCAATAATGGAACACCAGCTTTCCAGATCTATCTGAAGCCACGGGAAGGAAATTACTGATCAGATTGTAGAAAATTACAGAAATTGAACATAATTATTTGTTTTACTGCAGTAAAGGGGTGATATAAAACTGTGTAAGCAGAAACAAGATATACCACAATAGCACAGCTATTAATAAATTTTAATCTCTCTTTGTCTCTGTTTCTCCATCTGTAAAACTTATTTAACCCTATCCTATATTTGTAAAGCATAGGTTCTACCACATATAAGCAGTGCGTGTTTAAAAACCTTTTGATGATGATCCACATAATACTGTTAAACATTGTCCCTTGTTGTTCTGAAGCTCCAACCAATGAGGCCAGTCATCACTTTTTGTATCCCAGTGCCTGATAATTGCTCAATAAATATCTGATAAACTCAGTTTTGTCCAGTTTACAAAAGCTTACGGGCCTTTTCTGTTCACTTGGAAATAAAAAGGTATATCCATCTTTAAGTGTAATTTTTATCGAAAACCAGACAATATTGTTTTCTCTCACCAGCTCTGGACTACTATATTCTCCTTGCATATGTCTAATAAAATTAGTTTCCAAATTACTGGCAAATATAAAAACATACTTACAAAGTAGACAGGCTTTTTCTACCAAATAGTAGCACTTCTCTATAGAACTTTAACAAGAGTTCAAAATGCCCCATTTCGTCATGAAAGCAAAAAGATAATGTCAGTATCAGGAAATACTTAAGTAGTTATAATACCTGGAACACCTCATGAGACAATGTTTAAAGATGTCTACAAACATCTACCAGCCTTAAAAAAAAAAAAAGCATGTTGTATTCCCAAGATTCTAGGCCTCTTTTCTGATTCTGGAATCTCTGGGAAACATAATAATGAAATGTATATTATCTTCAACTACACTATTCTTTGGAAAAAAAAAAACGTGCCTTTCTAAACTAGCCCCATGCTCAATAATTCCTTCACTTAATTTAACATCAAAAATTTTTTAAAAAGTTTATGGTCAAGCTTAGAACGATTCTTCTGTAAATTCTGGTAAAAGTTCATTGGCGTAGACACTAATTACAACAAATAGGAAAGCAAAAATACACACTGCCAACCCAAATATATGCCACATTCAAAAAAAATAATATGCTGCATAAGATATGAGCTAAAAGGCTGCTGAGACATTAGGTTACAGGGGCTTCCTAACTCCACCTGGAGAAGTATATTCTTTCAGGAAAGGTAGGATGAGATGCCACCTACTGTGAAGAGGTCTCAAGAATGGAGAGAGAAGAAACTAACTGAGCTTAATGTTCTTAACAATCTATACAGCCACATTAAATATTTTACAAATCCTAATTCACAGGAGAGAAAACTCAGGGTCACAAGAGGCGAAGTTTGCCTAAAATGGAGAATACATGACAGAACCAGCCTAGAGAAGGATTTGTGTACTAAAGAGTAAAAATCGGAGAGGATTCTGTACTACCATTTCAAAGAAATCACACAGTACTCCTAGAGTTATTGGTAGTAAAGTTAGAAGTGAACTTCCTAATAATACTTTCCCCAGTGTCAGGAAAAAAAAAAGGAGGTGGTGGTGGCAATAAGTTATCAGGGCAGACACAAGGGCACTGTCCAATGACCTGGTAGAACTGTTTACCGGGTGACCTTCAAGTCCCATTTTTAATTCTGCAGTGTCTCAGGTGGGCTTCAACACTTCCTGCTATCTGGTTCAGAAGATGTTAACATTGGGGTTCATATGACAATACTCTCAGACCAAAAAAAAGAAAAAGGAAAGATCATTGCTAGTCTTATCTCACCCCTGTAAGTTGAATTACTTACGCATTAGGCTGTAAATGTGCTTTTCTGCAACATGTTCCGTAAACAGCTTTATAAGGTCATCTTTTAAGTCTCTGTTAAGCTTGGTTTCGATGTAAAACTTATTCTGAAAAACAAAATAAAATCTTTTTTGTGTATTAATTGGGGAAATGATTAGTCTAACAAACTGGAGAACTAAATATTATTTTAGAAAACAATGTATAAAGGCAGCAATTAAAACAGAAAAACTCAACATCCAACAATGAAAGCCCTGCAGCTATTAGTTACTTGTCTTTCTGGCATGGGGCTGAAAACAACAAAAAAATTGTTTTGAACCATACATCTCCAAAAGAACACTAGGAGATACCCAACATTAACTAGACAGGGAAGTACAAACACTGTAGAACCACACTGTGTGCAACACCCTTTAAAAATACATCATCTAAAGACAACATGGAGAAACACTAACGAAAAGTACCCCATCCCAATAATCTGGATTGAAAGGCTGTGGACATGCACTGGTTGACTCCCCAGCACACACTCAATTTCACTGATTAGTTTAAGTCTTTCAGTTTCTGGCACTCCGTGGGGACCACCTTTGGTTCAGAGGTAGACACTCAAGACAGACCAAGCAGACTTAGAGAAACCTTGGCATGAGGAAAAAATCTCTTGCAGTCATCTTATAACCATAAGAGGAACAGGATGCAACAGATGTTATGGAGAGCAAAGAGATCAAAAACCAAGTCCTTAGTAACGCTGTTGAACTACAGATTCAACCAACCCTGGACACTGCCTTATTTCTGGAGTTTTCTTACAAGAGACAATACTTTTCCTTATTTACTTCAATCACTTTGAATCATGTTTTCTGTTTCTTGCAGCTAAAATCCTGACGAGAATTACTGGCAAGTCAAAAGAGAATTTTTTCATATTTAAGTGTTAACTCAATGCAGAAGAGTAGAAAACACATAGAGGAATGCTAACAAGTTGCTGATTCTCTCTGAATTTGATTTTTAAAAAATTTTTTTAGAGATAGGGTCTCACTATATTACCTAGGCAAGTCTCAAACGCCTAGCCTCCCACTTCAGCTTCCTGAGTAGCTGGGATCACAGATGTGAGCCACTATGCCCAGCCATTTAATTCTTAACACAAGTTTTTTTCTGTCTCTTTAAAAAATATACAAAAACAAGATGCACATGGTTAAAAAATAGAAAGCATGCAAAAGAGTATGTAATAAAAAGTTTCTCAATACAGACCTTCTAACCCATTCCCAAAAGGTCCCATTCTACACTGGGAAAACTCCGGTATATTCTAAGATGTTTCTTGCATATACATGGGTATGTTTTTTTCCTCCTAAAACTAGTGAGAAAATATTAAACACTGCATTACCTTGCTTTTTCATCTAATAATGTATCCTGGAAAATTCTTCTCTAAAAAAACCGAGTTGTGTTACTTTTAATTGCATATTTTTCTGTCTTCCATAAATTATTTAAATAGTCCCCTATTGATGAGAATATAAACGTTCCTCAATGTTCTGCTACTTTTAAACCTGCATAATTCTTTTATATAAATATGTATGTATTTGAGTTTATTTGTATAATAAATTCCTAGAGGTACAATTCTTGAGTCAGATTTTTGCATTTTAAACCCTTAACAATAATGCCAAAGAGGCTTTACAATTTACATTTCTACCAAAAAGTGAGGAGCTTCTTTCTCTACAGTTCACGAGAACTGAATATTGATCAAACCTTTCCAGTTTCACTAAAATAAGTTATTTTATTTTTATTTCTTAAATTATGATATTGGATATATTTTCATGTTTATAATTTTTTCCTGGGAACTGTTCATATGGTTTGTCCACTTTTCAACAGAAAAATAAGGTTATCTTTTTCCAATTAATGAAAGCTGATTATCAAGGAAAACAAACTTTTGTCTTTTTTCCCACTTACTTTTGGCTTATGATATCTTACTACACAAAGGTTTCCAAAATTTTTATACTGTCATAGTCTAATATTTTCTTTCATAACTTCTAGATTTGGGTCTCATTGAGAAAGGCCTTTTCTCACTCTAAGACTATGCATGATTTGTCCTATAATAGTTAGCTAGCATTTCATTTTTTAAAACTTAGTCCATTTAGAATATTTTATAAAGAATAAGGTAGTGGCTAGGTGCTCATGCCTATTTAGGCATATGCCTATAATTCTAGCACTTTGGGAAGCTAAGGTGCACGGATGTTACAGACCAGCCTGCATAACATAGCAAGATCCCATCTCTACACACACACATACACACACACGTGCACACAAATTTTTTAGAGGAGAAGGCAGTAATCAGACTCCCCCACACTCAACTCCCAAATAACTACCGGTTGTCCTAATATTAGGTGTGGAATAATTACTCCTTCCTTATTGATCTGAAATGTCACCTTTCTTATTAAACTTCTACATTTACTTCGGCTTATTTCTGGGCTCTATTACTTTGATCCCTGACACCAATGACAAACATTATTAATTATCGTAGCCTTCTCATTCATTTTAGTATCAAGTAGTGATAGCAACAGGAGGCAGCCAAAAGCCTAGGGGTGGGTCTTTGGTGAAACCCAATCTCCAAGCTGAAGACCTTTTAAAGCCTGAAAGCCAAGCTAAAAGTTAAATCCTTGGATGGGACTGACAACTTGTCTTCCTTTTTGGCACACTACCCTCTGACTGATCCCCACCCTTCACCTGTTTTACATATACCTACCCTTTCCTAATTGGTTTTCTACACTGTTGAGCCCACCTTTGAGTGGTGTCTTCGATTTAACCTTTCTTACATATTCACAAACCAATCAGCATGCATCCCACATCTTGAGGTCACAAAAGGTCCCAGACCTACCCAGCCACACCACCCCTGCAACCTCTCTCCACTGAAAGCTGTTTCATTGCTCAATAAAATTCTTCTCTACCCTCCTCACGCTCCAAGGTTCAGCACATTCTCATTCTTCTTGGGCACAGTACAAGATCACGGCTCCAAACTATAACACAGGTTAGCTGAGATACACCAGAGTAGCTGAGCAAGGCCGAGGTGGGGCATTGCTGGCCAGGGGTCCCTGGCTTGAAAAGTGACCAAGAAGAAAACTCCTGCATCTAAAAAGGCCTCATATGTGAATTCTGCTAGCTGAAATTCAGAGTAAGTTTGAAGTTCACTCTTATTTTTTTTCTACATAAATTTTATCAGAAGAGATTACGTTAGCTGTCTTGTACATTTCATTTCTAAATATTTTCCCCTTTGGAAATAAATATCTAGTGAAAATTTAATAAAAATTTCAAGCTATTTTCACAATTCAAATTTTTAAATCAAAATTTAAAGCAAAAGTTGATCTGGCAGTATACCTTAAAGTCTCTGAAATAAATTAGCCATCTCTTTGAGACTCTGTCGTTTATATTCAAGAACAAAAAATAATATAACTGTTTAACTCCCCCAAAAAATTTTCTGCATTTATAGTGCTTTTCTCTCCTGGTACATTGTCCTACTGACATTTAAAACCTGAATGCACAACATTTTAATATACTCTTTCTATATAAGTAACTAGAAACATTAAAAAGAAACAGTATGAAAACTTCAGAAGTACTTAGAAACTCAAATTATTCTACCTCTTTTCAACTTTGTCTCAGATACATAATGTTAAATTCCAAACTTGTAAGCAAAAAAGTCTGTATTTGACCTCTATGTCTTTCAACAAGACCTTAGATACAATTTATTTTCTAGTTTAATGACAATTTCTTGATATTCATATAGACAGACTTCTAACAAGACATTAATTTTGACAATAAATGTTTTTAAAAATTTGTTTCTGTGTTGTCAAAGGAAACTTGGCTTATTATGGCACTAGCAGGTTAATACTTCAAACTATTTTCTTTAAATAATATACTTTTCCAACAAAGCAGTACCAAAGTTCAAAGAATTTCTATCTTCTGGACAATAAAAACATTTTCACAAGTAACTACAAAGCAAATTCAAGCTCTTAATTTATAAGAGAAAAGCTATAGTTAAGCTTTGCAATCTAAGATCCTTTCTTTGAATTCTGCTAGCTGAAAAAGTCAATTTGAGGTTCATTTATTCTTTTTTTTTTTTTGAGATAGAGTTTCACTCTTGTTACCCAGGCTGGAGTGCAATGGCACGATCTCGGCTCACCGCAACCTCCGCCTCCCGGGTTCAGGCGATTCTCCTGCCTCAGCCTCCTGAGTAGCTGGGATTACAGGCACGCACCACCATGCCCAGCTAATTTTTTGTGTTTTTAGTAGAGACGGGGTTTCACCATGTTGACCAGGATGGTCTCGATCTCTTGACCTCGTGATCCACCCGCCTCGGCCTCCCAAAGTGCTGGGATTACAGGCGTGAACCACCACGCCCGGCTACTTACGGAATTTCAAAGGAGAAAAAGAGAAAATAACTAAAGTTCTTCTATGTCAACAACTATCAAACATGACTGAAATAATTTAATTTCCATTTCTAACACAAACATAGTAAAAGAAAAACAACATGCTTAACTTTGCCTCTATTTGTGCTCTGACTAATACACTTAGGTATTTGGGGAGGAAGGGGCTCTAACTTACCATATATATGAAAAGAGGCACAATGCTCTGCAATGCTCCCATATATTGTCCAAGAGCTATATTAAATCTTTCAATATAGAGATCTGGAGGGCTGGCCTGTGAGAAAGAACAGAAGTGTGATCATTCTGGGAAACCAGGGAAAGACCTTCTACCACAATCTGAAATACAAATAGACTTAGAAGGAATTCAAAACTCATACTGTGATTCATAACAACAGCAGCAACAACAAAAAAAAAGACTTCTCCCTTTGTTCCAAAATCAAAACTGAGGTTTAGCCATCTTCAAAAGCTGTGTAACTTTAACATGTTAATTAAAAGGTTTGCTCTCTTACTGAATAAAAAGATGCACTCAGGCTGGGCACGGTGGCTCACACCTGTAATCCTTTTGGGAGGCTGAGATGGGCAGATCACTTGAGGTCAGGAGTTCAAGACGAGCATGGCCAACATGGTGAAACCCCATCTCTACTAAAAATATAAAAGTTAGCCAGGTGTGGTGGTGGGCACCTGTAATCCCAGCCACTTGGGAGGCTCAGGCAAGAGAATCGCTTGAACCTGGAGGCAGAGGGTTCAGTGAGCCGAGATCATGCCACTGCACTACAGCCTAGGCAAAAGAGTGAGACTTTGTCTCAAAGAAAAAGATTCACTCAAAGATAAATCACATGATTTTAAAAAACTATTACTGAATTACATAGATATTCCATATAGAAACCAAACTATATTTGAACCTGGAATCAGTTGAGAGGTTATTCAAGTAAGTGGTATAGGCTTAATGTTCTATTAGAATGGCTACAGAAATTTATAACTACCTTAGGCACAGTCATATTCTGATTTCTATACTAACTTGGTCGTAAACCACTTCTGTAGCTAATCAATTATAAATATAGGTTAGAAAGCATTGACACAAATAACCCATGTACACCTGCAGCTCTGTAGAGTAGTAAAATACATGCCTCTATTAACTCACTTTTACAAAATACCAAATCATAAAACCATCAAAAGAGAATACTTCCAACTTTTTTATACGTTATAGACTGAATATAGACTGTGTTCCTCCAAAATTCCTATGTTGAAACCCTAAACCCCTAGTAATGCCATATTAGGAGTAAGGAAGTAAATAAGGCTACATGAAGTCATAAGGGTAGAGCCCTGATGCTACAGGATTAGAGTCCTTAAAAGAAGAAACATCAGAATGCTCAGGCTCTTGTTCCTCCCACATGGCTCAGAAAAAAAGGCCATGTGAGAACTGCAGTAAGAAGGCAGCCATTTACAAACCCGGAAAAGGGCCCTCACCCAGAACCGAACAGGAAGCACCTTTGTCTTGGACTTCATGGCCTCCAGAACCGTGATAAACAAATTTCTTTATTTAAGCCGAGCAGTCTATATTACAGTTGACCCTTGAAAAACCAGAGGGTTAGGGGAGCCAACACCCAAAACAGTCAAAAAAATCTGTGTATAACTTTTCACTTCCCCCCAAATGTAACAACCAATAGCCTACTGTTGACCAGAAGTCTCACTGATAACATAAACAGTCTATTAACACATATTCTATATATTACATGTATAATTTATACTGTATTCTTACAGTAAAGTAAGCTGGAGCAAAGCAAATATTAAGATCATCGAGATGAAAAAATATATTTACTATTCATTAAGTGGAAGCATATCGTCATAAAGATTTTCATCCTCATCTCCACGGTAGGAAAAGGGTTGGTCTTGCTGTGTCAGGGGTGGGAGAAAATCCGTAGGTAAGTGGACCTACGCAGTTCAAACCCATGTTGCTCAAGGGTCAACTGTATTTTGTTGTGGCAGCCGAACCGAAGACGCTGTGTTTTACAAAAGTGCATCTTTCATTCTATTCTATTCTATTCTATTCTATTCTATTCTATTCTATTCTATTCTATTCTATTCTATACCTAAAGCTAAATTAGTTAGGTCCCATTTTAACACTAAAAAAGATCTAAATAGCCAGTAATTTGTCTAAGATTAGACTGTTAGCAAATGACACATCCAGGTCTTCCAACTAAGAATTCATTGGGTCAGTGTTGGGGGATGAGTGTGGTACAAAACAATGCAGACAAAACTGATTGTACACAAGAACCTGTGGCAGCCCCACAGTCTATCAACCACATCTTACACATAAAGTCTTGCTTTCAAATATGGATATTAAGAAATGCCACACAGAAGGATTCCTGAATTTTAAATTTTAAAACATGAAATTATAAGACCACTTCAACTAAGCTGTTTCAGAAATGTTTAAATATTTTGATACTATTTTCAAATAAGATTCATATTTCAGTTCCACTTAGAATCTTATACATGCGTAAAGAATTGTCTTTACTTCTAATTCATCTTCCATTACTGAGCAGTTACAGGTTTGGTGCATGCTAAGCGCTTTTATTTACATTTCTTTAATTTTTTTTTTTTTTAAACATTTTTTGAGATAGGTCTTGCCGTCATCTAGGCTGGAGGGCAGTACCATGATTACAGCTCATTGCAGCCTCGACTTCTCAGGCTCAACTGATCCTCCTACCTCAGCCACCACCCAAGTAGCTGGGACTACAGGTATGCAGCACTAAGCCTGGCTAATTTGTTTTTCATTTTTGTTTTTGGTAGAGATGGGGTCCTGCTATATTGCCCAGGCTGATCTTAAATTCCTGGGCTCAAGCAATCCTTCTGCCTCAGCCTCAAAAAGGACTGGGAATACAGGTGTGAGCCACCACACCCAGCCCATTTCTTTTTCTTAGTCCTCCTAACTGCCTATAACTTGAATGTCATTTCCATTTTACAGATGAGGTGATGGGGACTCAGAAAGAGTCACCTGTCTACAATTCCACAGTGAATAAACCCAAGAACTCCAACTCCAACCACGACCAATCCAAGGCCTTCTACATATACTTAAATTCCACTTTGGCGCCGGAAACCTTTTTACAAACTTCTCAGTGTAGGGCACAAGTGTCTACCTCTGGCTGCACAGTCTGCTCGTTGTCATAGGCAGCACACAACAGAACTGACAATGGAAATACTAGCACTTCCCAAAAGACATAAGACCTCCCTGACTTTCTTTCGACCTGACCATCTCTCTTCGCACCCACTATGCTGGCTAACTTCTCCTAGCCATTCCTTTAAAACTATCTGAATTACATGACCCTTCAGTAGGGCACCACTGCACTACTTCCCTCACTGAGTAGTCTCTGCCACTACCTTCAAGTCTCTGAGGGCAAGATTTGTGTCTTATCTGTGCACCTCCAGTGCTGACCACAGGGCCTGGAACATACAGTTAGATACAGAATGCATTGTTTTGCAAGAAGTCTCGTTAATTCTAAACTTTGACTCTAAATAAGCATTGTTTAAATCTAAATTCTTACTTAACAAGGCTGTATGACATTAAGAAATTCATTTTGCCCTCTAAATTTCAATGTCCATACATCCAAAATAGGAAAAATACTAGCTGTGCTACTTCCAAGATGTGATGAAAATGTATTTTGGGAAAATGTTAAGTATTATACATGCATATATATGCAACTAATAAGTAAACTCCTTTCTGAATTAACTACTCATTTGTCTAATGCTTCAAAAAAAAATCCAACAACATTTTTGTTTCTTTGTTTTTGAGATGGAGTCTCACTTTGTCACCCATGCTGGAGAGCAATGGTGTCATCTGGGTTCACTGCAACCTCCGCCTTCCCAGTTCAAGTGATTCCCTTGTCTCAGCCTCCCAGTAACTGGGATTACAGATGTGTGCAACCACACCCAACTAATTTTTGTATTTTTAATAGAGACAGGGTTTCACCATGTTGGGCAGGCTGGTCTTGAACTCCTGACCTCAAGTGATCCACCCAGTTCGGCCTCCCAAAGTGTTGGGATTATAGCCATGAGCCACCACTCCCAGCCTAGTAACATTTTTAAAAGCATTCTTTGTTAACTAAAGAACTTGGAAAAAATGGTTCCACGTTATAGGCAAATTTTTAACTCTAACTAATGAACAGAATCGTACGTAATATCTCTCTCTAAACTGCTTCAAATAATTCTAAAAGTGGTATTTCGGCATTCAAAGAAATAAATGTAGAAGTATTATGTGCAAAAAAATCTTAAAAGCTGTTGCATTAAAATAATGCTCAGCTGAGTACAGTGGCTCACACCTGTAATCCCAGCACTTTGGGAGGCTGAGGCGGGCAGATCACAAGGTCAAGAGATTCAGACCATCCTAGCCAACGTGGTAAAACCCCGTCTCTACTAAAAATACAAAAATTAGCTGGCATGGTGGCATGCGCTTGTAGTCCTTGCTACTCGGTAAGCTGAGGCAGGAGACTTGCTTGGACCCAGGAGGTAGAGGTTGCAGTGAGCCAAGATCGCACCACTGCACTCCAGCATGGCAACAGAGCTAGACTCCATCGTAAAAAAAAAAAAAAAAGTTCTCTTTTCACAAATGATCACTTTATCCAAAAGTTAAAACTATGAACATTGATGAAAAAGTACATTTAATAGCAGAGAGAATAAATAAAATTGAATTTTTGTTCAAGAACTCCTGAAGTCTTAAAGGTTATGAGTATTAAAAAGTACTTTCTGTACTGAATCAAATGTCAAACACTTGGCTTTTTCTACTGAGTAAAAAAGTACATTTCATGTAACGCTCATTCAAAACCTTTAAATGACAGGACTATAAATTTTAACAGTCTTCTAAAATAAACCCAATCTGCTTACTAGGAAGTTAGAAATACGTGCCATTTTTTTAAAAAAAACCCTTCAAATGGTTTCTCCTTAAAAGTTAAGTTCCACTGGCTCTGGGCCCCACTGGGGAAATTGCTACCTATTTGATTTACATTATTTCAACATGACAGTATTTGGCTCGGGCATTACAGTTTTTACCCCTAAACAAGCAAGCTCTGCTTTTTCCCCAAACAAAACAAGAAAAAAACTGCCAGAAAAATAATAACCATGGTTACAGGATCTTGGGGGTGTCATTTTCTAGCCAGAAACCTCTGTGGCTGGTGGCACCTTTGCCCAAGTTTTGCTCAGCCCACTGGGCTCATTTCACCCACTTGGCCTGGCTGGCTGCACTGGACTCACACTACCAGCCTGGGTCCCACACCTGCCAAG